GTTTATAGAACAGCTGTAACACTGGGTGAGATAATCTTATTAATGCTGATGAAAGAAAATGAGGCACTTCAATCAGCTGATCAGAAAAGACATTTAACAGCAGCTGTAACATATTTACAGACCAACATTTCTTCAACAATGTTAAAACATTTAGCTTTGAATATCTGAGTATCAAATAAAACCTAAGAGTTCCCCAGTGCTGAGGATCAGTTAGCAGACAGACGGATGTAGCCGTCTAATGCTGCGTACATACTGAACGCCATTTGAGGAGCAAAGAAGCGTCTGCTGGAAGTAGATGTTAGTGTTTTTCAGGTATGTTGTACAAAATGGAACATATTCTGACGGCAGGTTTCAACATGTTAAGTTAATTCAGGTGTAAATAAACTGTTTCAGAGGAGAGATCATAGCGGTCTGCAGCAGTGCTGTGTCCGTCTCCCTGCCAGCTCCCAGATCAGCTTCTCTGATTGGTCGATGTGACGCGTCGAGCAGCAAATGTTTCCAACTGCAGCTGCTGTTGCTTGTGAAGCGCGTTGCTACTGCTGCTTTAGATCCGCTGCAGGACCTTTTGATGTGCTTCAACCATAGACTCTGCATGTAAACTTTCAGCTGCTTGAATTTCACTCAGTGTGGACGTAGCATAACATCCTCTATGTCTGAAAATCAGCGACTTGTGGTCAGCTGATTCCATCCAAACACAGAAGCTGGCAGCAGCTGATCCAGCCTGGAGCAGCACAATGATGCACAGAGGCGGGAGTGAGATAATATGAAACTCGGTGATACAGAGAGAGCATCTTATTTTAACCAATTGTAAAGGCTGCCTCTGGGAACACTTTGCCAAATTGTTTAATATATCATAATACCCCAGAAAACACTAGTAATTATAAAAGCGGGTAGAACTGGTTCAAAGCTGTACTACATCGTCAGGTTTAACAGTTTAATCCTGATAAAGTTCAAACTCTTATGCTGCGTACGGTCGGCCCTCACCATGCTTTTCACCAGAGCTTTAAATGTTACAAGTTGCATCTTGAACTAAATTTTAAGTAAACCAACATTTGTTGGGTTTTTACATCCCAATGTCACGCCTTCAAGCTGTGCATGTAAGCTGGATGACCTCTGACCCCCCGATGTCCCGACCTAATACAGTATTTAGTGGGTGAGACAGTGAAACTGCTGCAGAGCAATGAAAACGTTATTAGAAACGGAGAGTGAGGGGAAAACGCTCTAACTGCAATCATGGCTTCATTACAATACTTAACAGGACTGCAGCTGTTTATTTTCTTCATACCGTGTAGCTTTAGATGCAGGAGTTTGACCTAGAACCAAAGGCTGGTATGTTCAAAACCCAGGTCAAAATAGACACTTCAGCCTCACTGCCTACTGGTGGCGCCCGTCAGTGTCAGTAAGTCCCAAGGCAACTGTGGCTACAATGCAGCTTTCCATTATCAGTGGATGGCAGCTGTCTGATTGTAGTGTAAAGCACTTGAAAGTACACACCATTTAGTCTGTTCTCTTCACAAACATGGCTAAACCTTTTTATCATAAACTCTGAAGTCTTCATATGAGCTTTGAAATAATAAAAAAAAGAAATCTAACCTGAGTATGTTCAGCAAAAAAGTCTTCCTCCTTCTTGTCAGGGGCAGCAGATGCGGAAGAATCGATCCAAAGCTACAACAGAAAACCAACATTTATTTAACGTTTTTCATGCAGGAGATCCCTTTTAATTTAATATTAATGCTACAGATGTGGCTGCAATCTCACACCCTGTGTACTCTGGACAGGATACACTGAGCTACTACACAGATACACGTCGTTATCAAGGTTTTGTAATGAGTCAAAGATCCTGTTAGGTCAGACGGACACTTGCATAACCAGACAAGTGCAGCCTGTTCCCTTCCCAGGCCGTCATCCAGTTGAACCACTCATTCCCACAGCGCTCCTAACTGGATGGGATTTGTCGTCTTCTTTTGATCATTTGAAACAAAAGATGGAAGCATAGAGCTACGTTCAGACGGCACACACTGGACCTAATGTTCCAAAACCAGAGAGACGCCTGTTTGTCCTACAATGATCTGATGACTGAAATTTGGGTAAAATAGGAGATGTTTATGAAGGCATTTTTAAAAGAACCAATTTCTTTCAGCAATCTTGAATATTTACCATACATTCAAACCTCTGTCGCTCTATATAGCAGACCTGATTATCTTATTATATCTATGTGGAGGCACGTTCAGGAGCAACGACAGGACCCATTTCAAAAGATGCGAATGGTTCAATTAGAGAAAATAGGCATGTTTTGACAGCAAAACATATTAGCGAGTTTAACTTCTTTCAGTGTTTCATTTATTACTGAAACTGATGGTTAAGATAAATGTAAAGCTGCATAACAGGATATTTGATTTAAACGATAATGTCCAATTTCAGCAACGTAGATTATATTTAGAAATGAATAATTCCATAATCTTTCTTTAAACTCGACCAAAAGCTGACAGCAAACAAACATTAAGCATTGATAAAAGTAAAAATTTGGATCTTTGATATTTTTGTTAGTAAAATACTTAATTTAATAGTAACAATATTAAAGCTAGAGGCAACAAGAGGAAAAAAAGGGAGATTCAAATTAGTTCAGACCAGAACAAGCGAGTAAATATTTTACAAGCAATTTAAATGTATTTGTGAATAAAAGAAAGTAATAAAAAGAATATAGGATTTTATTTTCTTACAATTATATCAGATGTGTTGAACTTTTTTTTTCTACAAGCTGCAACTTTCTAAAAATGTCTTTTTTTAAGGACTGTGAACCAAAAACTGTATTAATCACATCTGTGTCACACTGATTTCCGCTATGAGATCGTTCTTCTTCAAAACGTTCCTGATAATCACCTCAGTTCCATATTTGGACAACGCTGCGTTGGCCAGCTGCCGAATCTTCTCCCTGTACATCTGGGCGGCACGGCTGTTGTACTTGGCGTTGGTGTCGTTGGTGGAGCAGCCGTGCTGACGGAAGAAGGCCGTCTTCACGTGAAAGGAGAGAGTGTTAAAGCAATAAATCAGGAGGAAACCAGAGCAACGTTAAACATAAGTGATCTCAGAGCCGTGACTCACCGCATTGGCGTTCCCTCCAACCTGCATACATCTGAGCTGAAACCAGCTCCAGTTGGAGTCTAACTCTGTGGATCTGTAGAAAAATTAATCAAGACATCATCTACTGAGAGGAGTCCAAATGCTGCTGATTAATCAGATGGTCCAACTCCTTAAAGATAAATAATCTTTTAATGAGTTAAACCGTTACGTTACAGACAGCAGCGATGGAGGCTGAGCTGGTATGAGGCTTACCTGATGAAGCTGAGATGAACTCCCAGTGAACGATGGATGCCAGAGCAGTCGATGCACAGGAAAACGCCATAGGAGATGCTAGCCCAGCTTGGGTTTTTGGCAGCACAGTCGAAACAAGCCTTCATGTAAACAACAAATGATTTCAGCAATCAGTGACACACAATAATAGAATGGAATCAGCTAATTTCTAAATGTCAAACTTATCGATCACATCAGCTTCTAAGCCAAAACAACAACTGCTGTACTCATCTGGTTTTCCCTTAGAAACAGATAGACAAGTTTTCTGACTAATTTGTTTTTCAGTTTAAATTTTCCATCTCAATGTCTTAGTGAAAACTTTAAACTTTGGATCAAAAGCATTACTCTGAATTTTTATAAAACAGTGGCTAAAAAAGGAAGTTTGTTTTGATTTTGTATTCTCTTTATGTTTGTGTTCACATCAAAAAAAGGAAAATTTGTATTGATTTTAATGTCTGATTCATAAATAAAACTGTATGACAAAAAAGGAAGCTCCATATCAAACGGCTTTTAAATGTAATTCTTAAGATCAAAATATATTAACCCTATCATTCTTATTGACAAATATTTGAATTTATGTTATATTTAATAAAAAAGGACAATATTTTATTTTTCAGCTTTAACACAATTAAAGTTAGCTTAGTTTATTTTATAGTTTTTATATTTATGTATTTCAGATTCATATGTCATCTCCATTTAAATGTTTTTTATCATTTGAAATTGACATATAAAGAAATTATCACACACCATTTATCATTTAAAAAAATGCAACAATTGTTGTTCAACAAATAAATAAAAAGAAGAAAACAGAACATTTAAAGAATAGAGACAGACCAAGACATTGTTTGGCTGTTTTTTTCTTGTATTGGCTGATGTGTTTACCAGTTCATTCAGCAGCTTTACATTGAGATCTCATTAAGCACATTAATTGCACTCCCTCCATTTGCTATTTACTGTTAAAAGTTTTGCTTGATTTTTTAATAATTGCCATCTATTCTTTTAACGGAGACTTGCAACATGTGTTGTTGTGTCATTTTGTAAATTAAAGGAAAAGCTTAAAAAAAATAAAATAGGGCAGCACATATGCAGCTCTGGTTTTACGGTATGAATGTTAAGTGTATACCTGGTTCCTAAATATTTAAATCGAACCCATAGTGTCTAAACCCACACACCAAATACTTTAAACTGCAGTTATTTCTAAAAGCAGAAACTAATCTTTCTGTTAAAGTTTGTCAACAACATAATACCTTAAAAACCATAAACACGAATAATACACAACTCCAGAATTTAAAAAGTGGATTAACTTTTTTATTCGAACAGCCTAAAATAAAATTAAGAAATGATCTCAGCCAAAATGCTGCATATTGGGCAAGACTTTATAGTGTAAAACCTACATAACGTTTGACATCTTTTACCTGAGTCAGATGAGAACATTTTACATCTAGTTGTAAAATACGCAAGTAAGTAGATAATCAATTAATTTGAATTATTTATACACCGTTAAATTAATGTTTACTGATCTAAACATATCCCTGTGTTAGGATTATTTAAAAAATAAATAAATTGGAAGACATAGAGGCTAAACACAAGTTAGGGAATCCAAGGTGCTTCAGATTTAAACTGATAAACTGGGATAAAGAAACACTACACCAACTGATGAACAAACGATTAATTGTGGATGAAAACTGAAATCGTCACAAAAAATGAGTGTGGCTCTGATAAAAATGTCCGACACAATGTTGAATCAAAGGTTTTAAAAGACTAACAGATACAGCAGCTTGTATTATCTAACAGCAAACCCAAAAACATGGCGTATAAACGCTATATTGACATTTATATCCGCTATGGGCGACGTTTATTCAACAGTATAATAGATTTTAAACGTTTCCGGTCACAAATTAGTTTAGAGAAGCGAAACAGGTTTTCTTCCAGACAAGAACAAACCGTTTACGTGGCCTTGGTGTGCTACTGGACCCGGCAGGCTAGCGGAGGTTAGCTCCTGTTAGCTCTGATTCCACATAGAATTTACTGTAAAATTGTTAGCTTCCACTAGCTTGCTTTTAGCAACCCTTAGCTCTGGTTAGCATCCAATGCTAACCAATACTAATAAAATGTATGTATAAAACGAGCCACTGCCAGTAAAAAGTAAACTAAAATAACAACACAAAATAGATTAAATATATCGGATTAGATTACCTTATTGGTAGGAATTGATCTTAATCTTTTGAAAATCGTCAGGATTTCGGTCTTGTTTGGTTCCGTAGCCATCTTTCCACCGTTTGACGTTACCGTCTGCTGACGTCAGTTAAAGTCACGTAGACTACGGAAAGCGAAAGTTACTTTGTCAAAAAAAATATATATATGCAAATACTCAAAAAATAAAATTCAGAAACACAAATTGATATAACTTAAATAATAATTAAGATTTTAAGGAATCATGCATTTAAGAGTTTCCACATTATAAATATTGAAATGGACCAGAACCATTAAAAAACATGCCATTCAATCAAGCTCTTCATCTGGATCATGGCATCATATTGGCCCTTGACAATAACATAAAATAACTCTAATTTATTATGACGTGTCATTTAAATCACATATAAAACAGGTTTTTATCATTCATTATTTCACCAGAAAAGTGCAAAAAAAATTATGGAAATATAACTGTTCCACCTTAATCTTCTAAAATGACCACAAAGCCACAAAGCCTGCAAAACTCTGAACTGACCATATAATCCCCCCCACACACACACACACCCTCAAAAAAACAAAAACAAAAAAACAATCTCCATCTTTACTCAGGGATCTGATGTTTCTTATGTCCCTAAAGAGCACTTCGCTCTGTAGTGTCAGTGATACTGCGTTTCCTTAGACAGAACAGTTTTAAATAATCTTTGGTGAAGATTTCTCAGTAAAGCGTCTTCAGATGATCTTTGAACCAGCACTATATACATGAAGCAAAATGAATTAAAACTATTTACATTGCCCTTATTTTCTTGTGCTGTATCTTTCTTGTAAAGGAAAATGAACGTGTTGTTCCAAAGTCTTTTCCAACATTTCTTTCGAAACATGACTAAGAAATTCAGAGCATTCCCTTCTAGTTATTTTTGATAACTACTTGGTAATGAATCAGTCAATGGAATGTTTTATATATGATATTTGTATGATATGTATAAAAACTAAAAAACATGACCGGTAGGTTAATTGGCTTTTCTAAATTCTCCTTAGGTGGAAGTGTGTGTGAACGGTTGTTTGTCCTGTGTGTCTCTGTGTTGCCCTGCAATGGACTGGTGACCTGTCCAGGCTGGACCCCGCCTTTTCGCCTGTAGACATCTGGAGATACAGTTGGCAATAACACCCCTCGCAACCCCAGCTCGGATAAAGCGTGAAAGAAAATGGATGGATGGATGTATAAAAACAAAAAAAAATTAAGTGAATAAATGCATACCTAAATAAATTCAATATCTATTTAGCCATAACAGTCTCATTAAAGCTCTTCATCATCTCTTCCTCCTGCATAATAAACAAATCAACAACAAAGAAAGGAGCTACAGATGTAAATAAAAATGCAGAAAAGTAAGCGGATTCCAAACACATTGCTGTCACACCTATATTTTATCACATTATCAAGAAATTACTGACAAAGATAATCTGGGGGAAAAATCTGTGCAAAGTACTCGCTTGGATTGTTCATTTATGGATTAACTGTGACTGAACACATCTTTGGTTCCTATTCACTAAATGACCTGACTACTGGCAGACCCATAGAAACAAAAACTGGACAATAAAAGAAACAGTCTATCTATATGAAGTATTCTCAAAAAAGAACATTACACACTTCAGAACATGGTGGTTGCTGTGTAATCTTCTCTACCCCTTTATGACCTTAATGAATTTATGTAAATCATGCTCTTTAGCAGAAGATCATGCAGGAGAATGTCAGAGCTTTATTTAGGACGTTAGCCTGTGCAGCAGCAAAACTACCTCTGAGCGGTCTAGTCAAAGGCTGCACCTAAACAACAAGAAAACAAAGCCAGAAATGGAAATCGTTGAGGGTGAATGTTTATCCCAGCCTTGCGTGGACCTTAAAAGAACTGCTTTTCATCTGTAACTCAGGTTGTTCAGTTAATTGCAGGTTCTAGTTGTGAAAAGTTTTGTCATTTGCTATTTTTATTACAGCATGGATGGTTTGAAGTGAGCTCAGATCCAGTCAGACCTGTTGGATGAGCTCGGAAGGAACGGCCTCCTTCATCTCGGCTGCTGAAAGTTGTGTGTTGGACTTTGTCACGAACAGATTCTTGAAGGCATCATGGGGGCAGGTGCAGTTCTGTTTCTGCTCGTCGCTCTGCTGGCGACGGGCTCAGCTGTCAGCTTTTATGGGGACAGCATCAGTTTCTCACCACCAAGGACGAACAGAGATGGAACATACAAGGTAAAGAACATCACTGCTTCAAACAATCTTTTTTTAGCTTAACTTGATTCTCCAGAAAGTAACACTGAAACCTGAATAATCAAACAAACATTTTTGTTTCATAAAGAAACCTTTGGTTTGTTATAGCAACGATTTCCTGTTTCCTGACTAAAGAAACAAAACATCCATGTAGAATAAAGAAAAAAGAAATAAACAAAAGAAGTAATTTTTGGAATGCTCCACATCTGTGTGGCATCCATACTTGCTGAAGAATCTCCTAATGACTTAGGTTGAAAATATGTTTTTCAACTTTCTATCCAGCCTGCTTATTTATAAAAATAAATAAATGATAGAAAGAAATAACTTCCTTTGATCTAAAGTTAAAATAAAACTGATCAGATTATGATCTAGTTTCTCTTTATTTAGAGCCTAAGAAGCCATGATAAACTGTTCTCCAGGTTTTTAACTAACTTTTTGGTTCAGTTTTGGTTTCTGTTATTCAGCGGAACCCAATAAGTATGACCTGTGAGTTTTTGGTGGACCTTAATGTAGAGAAAAGTTTGATTTAAGATAATTAAGTCATGACAAACAGCAGGAATACAATCCAGTAAAGCGCTGATGAAGATTATACAGATTATAGTCATTCCGTAAAAGTTCAAAAAAATCCACTGGAATTGGTTTCCAAGATTTGAAGACGTTTTAACGACCGACCTTTAGAATCATAGACAGGTTTCAGATATTACAATGGAACCAAACGACCCACTCATCGGTTACCATTTGCATGTTTCCAAGCAATACAAGGCCTTGTCTATATAAGATTCAAACTCACTGCGGATCCAGACATTTGAATTGAGAAAGCTTCCTGGAGAGGTGGCGAAACGTCTTCAAATCTTGGAAACCAATTCCAGTGGATTTTTTTGAACTTTTACGGAAATCCAGTAATCCGCTGACCAAAGAAACAACAGATGCATCACCTTTCGGCTGAAGAACTTTAAGTCTTGTTTTCTGGTTGTGTAGGCTGCTATACTTGGGCTTTCACATATTTGTTGAAAGAGCTGCCTAAATGTCAAATTTAGAAGTAGAACTGAGTAAGAAAGCAGTGAAAGTCTAAAGAAAACTAAAGAAAGAACAGAAAAACTTTGCCTATTCAGCCAGGCCAACAATTCCCTTTAACGACCAACCTTTCAGACACTAGACAGGTATGGGGCATTGCAGCCTAACAAAGGAAGCCAAACAACCCACATCCCAAATGGTTGGACCCCTTTGTCTGTTCCAATTTGCATGTTTTCAAAACAAAAACAAGGCTTTGTTGGGCTACTATATAAAGCCTCAAACTCAACGCTATTCCTGACATTTTGAATTGAAAAAACTTCCTGGATGGGAAGCGAAACGTCTTCAAACTTGGAAACAAAGTCCAGTGATTGTTTTTTTAATTTTCTTTTTTGGAATGACCATGACCTGGATGACTGATAATCTTCACCAACATACTAAATGAATAGATTTGAGGAATGTCTAGATATATGGAGGAATTACTTTTATGTTTGAATTATGTTCTATGGACCCTGCAGGTGACTTTTTATCACAGACAAAATGGCAGAAATGACTGTCAGAACCAGTCATCGTTGGTCTGTGAAGGTGGGGTGTGCACAGACTTGGACCAGACGGATGCTCTCCAAACAGATCAGGACTCTTCAGGCCAAGGCAGGTGGTGCCAGACCGAGAGACGAACAACAACAAACTTTCAAGCCAATGGGACGAGTTTTACTCTGAGGTGAGTCCAGATCCCACCAACTGAAACCAGAACTTCCGGTACCCTGCTCCAGGTTTACTCTGAGGAGCTCTCCATGACGCAGCCCAAATTACGTCTGAAATGCTGTAGGCAGAATGAGAACTATGCAGACACATGCTTATGAATAATGGTTCAATTACTCAGACTTCAGAAGACTTTCCAGCAAAGTTTTTCAACTGCGTCCAAGTTTCTACTAATTAAAATTAAAGCTTTGTTTTTTTTTCATTTAAAAAAACATACCATAAGTTAATTTAATTTTATGCAACAAAGGAGGAACATTTACCCACATAAATCAATGGGAACAACAATGAATCTGGGTAGAGATGTGACTCCAAAAGCAAAGAGAAAAATAAAAACACTAAGAATATTGTTTTGATTATTTAGATTCTAGAAAGACATTTTTTAAATCTAGTCCCCAAGGAGCAGTGACCTGCATGAACTTGCTGGCAGTCTGAGGAGTAATCTGACCATTTTACTGGGTTGTGTTAAAATATCTGAAACAAGGACAGTGAAGTCAAAGGTCCGGGAATGTCCTCTTCTAGCATTAAACCAGCTCAGATGGTTCCTTCTATCCAACCTGCAGCTCAGAGGAAAGCGGCTGTCAGAATACAAACAGCACAACAAAGCTGTGTGCAAGAAATGTGTTACTATATTAAGAAAAACCACATTCCCTTTAAGAACAACAGGCGCTGAACAGGGTTCTGGGCCTCATTATGGTGGTTGCCCAGCGTGCCAATAGGTGAAGAAAAGCAACAACTAACAAAAACACACAAAAATATAACACAAAATACAGCAAAAAATAACATATATCAGTAGTCCTTTTCCCAAACACTAAATGGATCCCCCAGGACCCCAAACAGCTAATCCATGAGGGGAAAAAATTAAGAAATATTTGTTTAAACAAATCAACTATTTAAATTAACCTTTTTAAAATGTCCCTTAAGTTTCTTTTCTTTTGATGTTATTATATAATAAGTAGCTTTGGGTAGATCTGCTTCTCCGTCTGTGTGAACTGGTGTTAAAACAGCCCTAAATGACCTTGTTGTTGGGGGGTTTAATATAATAGCTGATCATAGGAAAATCTCTTATCTTTTTAATCCATATCTTCC